CGCTGCGGCTCATTTCCTTCCCGGGGGCAGCGAGCCGGCCGGCGCTGCTCTGCCAAGCGCTGACGCAGCGGGCACCCCCGCCCAACAGAGGCAATCTCCTGGAACCTGAACCTGAACACCCACGCTCGCACTGCAAGATCATTTATTTTGTATTCTTTGCACCACAGTGGCACGTGTTAGACTCCACTAGGAGCTGTAAAGACGTTAAATCCTTTGACAAAATGCGGCTCTCCGCACATTCGACTTGTGGTCATCAAAGTGACATAGCCACAATGCGTTCTCTTGGAAACTGTCACTGTTCATAAACGCTCAAAGAGCACCAAGATCATAAAAGATATTTTTCATCTTCAGTTACTGATATGTTCCTTTTTTTTCCCCATGGATTTTGTGGACTCGAACTACAGGAGCTCTTGAATTTTCTTAAGATTCCAAAACTTTGACAAGAGCAAATGTCCTTCTACCAAGTTCGACCAAAAACATTAACAAGCCGTGATCACTGGCACAAACAACTGCAATCCCTCACTGCATATATCAATCAGCAGCGAAATGGTCCTGCCTAGGTTTATGAGTCCTTCTAGCAAGAAAATCGCCTGCCACACTCCCTGTATTTGTATAGCTACTATCAGAAGTGCCTTTTTGAAACGAGCCTTCAGATCTGAAATGTTACAAAGCCAGTTTCTGTTTATTTATAGGTTTTTCCAGAGAGTTGAGTGAAGAAGAATAAATAACAGAAAAGAATAATCCGGGGAAAAGATAGGCTTTTCTTCCTCCCATAACCCTTCAATTAAGGTTTCTCCTTTGATATAGGTTCTTTGTCATTTTTACACAGGTTACATTAAAATATTGTAAAAAAATTGTTTTATTTCTTAATGTATAATCCAGTGTTCTTTTTTTCTCCTCCAAAAATGTCTGATGGTCCCAATTAAATCATTTCTTAGCCTTCCATCCTTCAGCTTTAAGGAATTTTCTTCTCCTCATTGCCTATCTCATTTCTAAATAATTAACAGGAAAATTTACAGATAAAGATGAGCACTGATTTGGAAGGAGCCCTGCCCCTGAAGCATCATCAGTTCTAAATAATCAGGTGTGAACTGCTTACCCTTAGGCACAGAAATGCTAGGTAATTTAAAAGATGCTGGTCTAGCTGTCAGAGTTGCACCATCTCCTTGACTTTAACCTTTTTGCAGAAGCTCCTCTCTGTGGCAGCTTCTCACATCATATATATAATCAGAACCCCACTGTCACCTTGCCATGGTCAGAGCAGAGCTAATGCTCTGACCAGCTTAAAAAATTTTACTGAAGTTGCCACTCAGTCCTCCTGCACCTGAATGCAGAATTTCAGTGTTCTGAGGGTTTGTTGTTGGTTTGTTTGTTTTTTTTTTTTTTGTCTAGCATGCACCTCTTTAGTTTTGGGGTTTGTTTTTTTTCCTCTTTTATTTTTAGATAAGCCTAGAAAGTCTTTGGTGATTTGACTGACATAAAAACTTACGTAGTGACAAATTAAAAGAACCATTTTATCTAAGCTACTGACAAACCTCTAGAACATAGAACTAAACATGGTATTCTTGGAACTGAAAAAATAGATAAGAGACACAATAGCAACTTTTATTTTGACGCATAGATGTGATCCAAAAAAAACCTGGGATGGAGGCTCTGAAAAGACAAAGTACAAATTTAAAGAAATTATGTGTAGGCTTTTGTGAGAAGACAAAAAAATACACAATTCAGCTACAAGTTTTCAGTTAAGCAATTTTAAGAGCTCTCTTCTTTTTTAAAAATACAGTTTGCAGGAACAGAAAATTCTTTTGTAGACATCTGAGAGACAAAGAAGCGTTCTCCATCATGAAAAAACATATTTTACATTAAAATAAGTTAAATTTGATAAACAGGACAGTGAATTTCCCCTTAGGGCCTTCAGTAAAATCAAAATTCGACAGTTATCCTAGCTAAGACTACTTTTAGGGACAGAAATAGTATTCCATTGTGGAATTTTAAATAAAACATCACTGGTTTTGAAGTACTCTAAAATACTAATTTCCACCATTTGTGCTTCAAGGAATTTTTTAGAGAGTATTTTGTCTGTCAATCCCATTATATAAAGCCTCATATAACTGAATTTAAAGTCCAGTGATACTTTTTATTGACGTTATTAGCTGTAGATGCTATTAGGTACTGTATATATGTGCATTGCATAACCTGTGTATAAATACTTCAAATCACTTTACCATATTAGCACCACTTTACAGTACAAGTAACAGAGGTGCAGAGTGCTCCCGAGAGGTAGATGTTTTAGCCACCATTTTGCCAAGACAGACCCTCAGATGGAGATGTGAGTGGCCTTATCACAAGAGCTGCCTCGCCGCAGCCAGGGGCCGGCAGCCAGCTGTGCCGAGCGCTGCAGTGCCCAGTGCCTCCAAACGCCCCGGCTCCCCGCCGCCTGGCCAGCCCACGTCAGCACACAGTGAAACCAGGCTCCAGTGCACAGCGCACTGCCGCCGGACACGTTTCAGAGTCTTCCACCCCTTTTCTGGGGCAGTCCTGAGCCCTGGCTGTGGGGGACTCCAGGGGAGAAGCTAGGGAAGGCCACGTGTCCTCAGGAAGGCCTCAGGGGTACTTGCCAGCTGGACAAGGTCCCTACATTATATGTCTGGCCCAGCAGCTTCCATCTCTCTCGAGGGTTGGTGGCACGACCTCCTGTAACCAGTGCTGGGTGTACACAGTGGCCTGGACTTCTTCTGAGGACATCTGACTTCACATACCACAGGGGTAAACGAACTCGGGCAGCCTGTGAGGAGAGCGTGGATATGGGCTGCTAAGTCTCAGGATCACTCTAGGTTTCAGGTTCTTCCTGAGACTAGAAGCTCAGAGAGACAAAGTCACTGAGCCTTAATTGATGCAGTACAGATTCAGCTGGCAAAACCAGAGCCACTGCAGACCTCCAGCTGTCTCATTCAAATGACCCTACCGCCAAACAAAACAACAGCCTTTTAAAAGATAGCCTTCTCCACTTCAGTGAGGCAAGCAGTAGTCCCTGACACTCAAAATACTCAGTGCCCCACAGCAGGGAGATGCCAGGCTGCCCTCAGACAGACACAGGATATGGTTACACCATACGCATATGCAAACCACCGGTAACATCTTTTCCGTCCCCTGTTCTGCATGTAGTAATAAATTAAATAGGCTTCCTCCTTCTTACAGATTTTTTTATGCTGCTTATGATAGGCTTGGGAACTGAAACAGTGCTTCATTTGTGAAAAAAGACACCGACATACTCAGACATCTTAGCCAGCGTAAACCAGCATGGGCTTTTCGGGATGAAGCAGCCGTTCAAAATGACCCATTGACGCTGAGCTCGCAGGAGCCCAGCAATGTTAGGCTGCACTTCCCAGGGCAGAGCAGAAATTAGGGTGTTTTTTTAAGAAAGCATCGGTGCAAGGTGCTCAAACCCTGACGGACAGCGTGCGTCTTAAGAGATAATTTGTGTCATTTTCTCCCCACGTGCTGCTGTTTCGGGTGCTCCTTACGTGCTGCCACCGAAAACCATGACAGACCGGTCTGGCCGGTTTTTGCCGTATTTGCCGTATTTGTTCAGTTTCAACAGCCGGCCG